ATTCTTTTCCTTTTTCTTTTTTTAATTCATTTTCCTTTATTATTTTTCCATGCTTGTGTCCTCAACTCCTTCGCCACGTGGTTGATTCAACCTTGGAAGCTATGGAATGACACGATCTTTTATAAATACAACATCAATTGCTATGATTCTAAAAATTTTCTTAAAGTAATGCTATGCTAATTAAAGCTTTGATACTTGTAGATTTGTACTGATGCTAGTATAAGCTTTAAAGGGTTACTCGCCTACCTCTATCCTCTTATTAATCCTTTAATTATAATGTCTTTATTTTGATTTAATTAAGTAGCCACGTATACTCTGAAATGCTTTTTATGTCTCTAAAAGTTCATCTTATCCTATACGAAGTATTATTATAACAAATAACATTTGATACGATTTGAATTAAGAGTAGTTTATGGATAATGTAGTAGTCAAATTCTTCTCTTGTTATACGAAATATTAATAATTACGCAAATACAAAAATTTATTAGGATAATGAAGTCAAAATGTGAAAAAAATACATCACATGGAATGGGTGTAAATTTTTTTTTTTTTCATTTTAATTAACACGAAGATTTGTATGTATATCATAAAAAGAATACAAGAATATTAAGGATATGATTAATTGCATGTATATAATATATCATTACTCAAAAATTAAATTTTGGAATCACTCAATAATTAAGAATATGATTAATTGGGTTCTTGCCATTCTTGGTGATTATTTCTAACTCGGATCCTACATTGCTTTACTCCGATCCACAAAAGATTGTAACCAAATTAGTACTCCGAGTGTTTTGATCTAATCTAATGTTGTCTCAATCATGGGAAAGTTTCAATCATGAGAAAGTGTACGTCTAAACATAAAAGTCATTCCATTAAAATTGGTTTATCAGTGAATATTGCTATATTATGAAATACTTTATATTGTTAGACAAATAATGGTACCAGCTAGGCCGATTCAACAATTAATCTATAGACCTAACAAATTACCTAAATTGCACAATTCTTACCTTATATAACACGTCCCTTCTAGTAGTCTAGTCGAGTAAAAGTTTGATCTCATCTTAAAATGTAATGAACAATATAATTCCCAATTAAGAAACTTACTAAATCATAAACAACCACACTATCAAGCAAACAATAAAAAAAGTATGCCCAAGAAATTTAATACACATTTGAAACTCCTCTCTTACGCTTGTACTATCTTAGAGTCATATATATTTTTTGTAATTCTATTTTATTTACGAGGATTATAACACATAAAGAAGAACAATAGTCTCGATCCTTTCTTTTAAATCGTTCTCAGAATAACATACTCAGTACTTTGTTTACTCGTATTTGTTAACTATATATCAAGGTATTTATTTATTTATTTATTTATTTATTTTACTTTTTAATTTCAATTAGTAAGAAAAATGAGGTATTTCCATAATAATGTACACTTGTAAGATTTTGAAGATATATCTCAAAGGTATAATGTGATGTCATAAAAATGTAGTTATTAAAGATAATGTCAAGAATATCTCTTGATTATCTGTTTAATATCCTCCATCACAAATGCTTATAATATCTTTGACTAGCAAGGATACATATACTTTGTAATATCACAATCGTATCAAATTTCATTATGGTATGATAAACTATAATAATAATAATAATAATGAAATACAGAATAATCACCGTATGTATAAATGAATAAATGCATACATACTATTGCAATCAAACTAATTCAAAATTGAATGATTTATTGATATATATTGTCCATATAATACATTAATAAAAACGTAAAAAAACTCGAAATTAAAGGAACAAGCTAGATATTTTGTTGTCAAACTTCATTTTATGCATTATAAATAAATAGAGTATCAATGATGACTCAACGTATGAAATATCAACGAAGAATATATGCGTTATAAATTTAATTGGAACAAGATTTAATGGCATGAATATTACTAAGTAATTCTCTTTGATTATTCAACAAGAGTTTTGGAGCTGATGATATATGAATCCATGTAGGAGTATAGACCATTGAATGAGCTAGTTTCGGTTTTTACTACGTACTCGATCATAGTATTACTTATCTCCACGTGTTGACTTGTTAATTTTACATGGCACACACCTATTTATACGTGCACCATTTTGTAAGTTTCAATCTTAACCTTTTCACACTCGAGATATTTACTAGACAAATAATTTTGTTACAACAATTGTTAAAATTAATTATATCAATGTCCGATAATGTATGTTATCTCTAAATATCAGTCATATTATTTGGTGTAAGATGTATTCAAGGTTAAATTTTGCTTGTTTAATACTTAAATGAGCGATAATTATATTGTAATCATTAAATTAAAATAACGTAAAAACAACCTACAATCCAACACTTCTAAAAATAATGTTAATAAACCTAAATTTAAATTATTATTTATAGTCTAGCCAAAGCATGCAAATATTATGTAAGAATATATATATCATAGTTCATATGTATAGTAGTACATATGATGAATATGGTTTCACTTTAACTTAATGAGCTGGTGACACCAACCATAATAGTAGTACTATAATTATATGGTATGAATTAAAATATAGAAAAAGTAATCTTACAAAAATAATAAGTAATTAAACAACGTTGGAGGGCAGGGAGCCGAAATATAGAGGACAGCACAACAGTGAAAAATAGGAAAGTTCAGTTGCGTTTACGCAAAACGGAGTAGGAACATAAGAATAATACAATAATAATATCTTTAAATAAAAACAAGTGTTCAATTTTAATTTTGGGAAGAATAGGTGTTATTTTACAAGCATTTAAATTAGGACTCGTGTCGAGTTGTTTTGATTCTTGCGCAGCCACGCCACACTAAATTTTAGTGATACTTTCAATTACGTAGTAGAATATAAAGTATGGCGTCCAATTTTGTTTTTTATTTTTATAAATTTCGGCATAATTTAAAAAGCATAAAAACAGGGAATTATTTTATTATTGAAGAGTTATTTTTTGCCATTTCTGTTTCTTAGGAGGTACCAAAATTGAAGTCAGGGACTAAATTCATGTATGTGTCGTACAAGTATGTCCATGTGCTTGGTCGATAATACTATCTATTTTCTCCGTTTCATAATACTTTTTATCATATGTTTTATATGCACCTCACATTTGTACACTAGAAAATACTAATAATCGAATTGCTTGATCTATTATGTTATTAAGAATATGCACCTTGTGTATAATGTGTGGGTCGATAATTATATGTATATGAAATAATGAACACGATGGGATCGAAAACATGGTTTAAAACTTTGAAACAAATTATATAAATGTTTGCATTGAGCTAGAGCTATTCGTATCAGCATGCCAAGGTCATTCGGTGGATATGCACCGGGCCCACCATCGGCCGCACTTACAGACGTACGACATAAGCTGTTATAGCGGTGGCCGGTATGACTTCACGGCTAGATTAAATTTCCAAGAATAAATAATGTTTTGTTTTAAACTGAAATGAAAGTTAGTGCAATGAAGATCAACCTTGAATATACACAATACACTTCTAATATTGTCAATGTAAAACTATATAGTAATATCAAGGATCGGATACAACCAGATCTTATTACATGATTCATAGTGATACTGATCAATGTGATCATGTAACATTATTAGACTTATAGAACACATATGTATAGAGAACACTATATAGTAATAACTACTTTTACTTTGTAAAACTATAATCTTTAAGTGTGCTTGGTAAGAATTCACCTCGGGCTTTTCATTTACTGCGTATGTTGTTCTAGTACTAGGGTTTACGATATGGTGTATACAATCTTGAAATACTATTAATCATCTAATATTCTGTATTTCGTAATATAAAGATTTAAATACTTAAAGGTGGCCAATAAATTGAATTGAAGAACCCAAATCTCAAGGGTAAGAAATTCTGTACACACTTGTAATATACTTACAATAATATACACTTAGGAACCACAATCACAATCAAACCCAAACCCAAATTTCAAATTTAATTAAAAAAAAGGTAGTTTGGTAAGGCTCAAATAATTAATGAATAAAAACCTATTTTTCCTAAAAGGTTAGGCCAATAATTGGTAGTTACAGTTTGGCACCTGATTGATAAATTAAACTTTGATTAAAATTTTCTTTTTGGTGAATGTCAACTCATTTGTTGCAAACGTGACATATAGTTGAACGACTTCTTGTACAGGAGTTTATATAAAGAGGTTTAGTAAAATGTTATGAATAAACTATAGTCAAACAGTATTAAAATGATATATACTTCATATAATGTAAGATAATACAAAGTAGATCCTTAGTTGTTACGTTTGGTAGACTTTAATCACATATTTAATCCAATAACAGGGTTATTGAAGTGAAATTTTTAGCTATGATTGGATTGCTTGGGCTAATTTAATTAAAAGGTTGTTATTTGTTAGAAGAATTGTTGTTAGAAGAAATAAATAATGAAATTTCCTCACCTTGCTATGAGTGTACGATTCCTAAAGCTACGAATAAAATAAATAATATTTACTTTTTTTTTTAATAGCAAATAAATAACATTTACTTGAGCCCTGTTTATTTATTAAAAAATTTAAAATTTGTAATACTTTGCTTATTATATACCTTAAAATATACTTCGTACTTTCTACAAGAAATATACAAGTATAAATATTAAACAAGTACTCCGTACCAAGTACTAATCAAAGAAAAGGCAAAACCGAATTTTTTGAGAGAATTTATCTACCTATGTAGAATGTTAAACACGGTTAAGTTTATAGTTTTGTAATTTATAATGAATGATAATATAACATAATACAATTTTTTTGTATTCTGTAAATCATATATGATATGAATTAAAGCATAGAGTAATTTAATAAAGTGCATTTATATATTAAATATCCATGATATGATAGGACTAATAAGTTTAATTAAGAATTCAAGGCTAACAAGATAACATTAGTGACTATTCAAAAAAAAGATAACATTAGTGAAATTCAAATGAAGAGAAACAAAAGATTCATACTGAGGTTTATCAGAGTGAAATTGATATAGATGAAGAGTCGGGATAATGTGACAATCAATTCTGTTCCTAGGGACTACGTGTCTACATGACTACGTACAACTTATTGAAGGCTTGAAGATATCGACTCTCTACTTAAAAGTCATGGACCCGAACCAATGCAAGTTATCTAGCAAAAAGTTGGGTTGTATCCATTGATAGTAAAACCTCCATCAACACAAATGGTCTGGCCAGTAATGTAAGAAGCAGCAGGCATGCATAAGAATGCCACTAAGGCAGACACCTCTTCCATCTCCCCTGTTCTTCCAAGAGGAGTTCTTCCTAATACTCCTTCCAAATATTTTTTGTCATTAAGGATCTGCAACATTTCAGAAAAAAGGATGACAAACCAACACTTGTATTCAGATTTTGTTAGTATAGGCGCGCAATCATGCACCCGCGATATCTAAGGCTCAACTTTGAGCATTAATATCTTTAAATTCATACTGACCAAAAGTTTACGACAATAAAAACGAGCAGTTGAAGTAAACCTTCAATAACATTCAAACAAAGCTAATTGAATGGAATACAGTATTAAGTTATGCCATTACCTCTTCAGTAAGAGGGGTACGGATGTACCAAGGTGCAACAGAATTAATTCTGATGTTATCCTTTGCCCACTCACATGCTAAATTCTTTGCTAATTGGTTCATTGCTCCTGTAAAAAAACTTACACCATAAACATTACTTTAAAACTCATATAATTCATATTGAACAAAATTAAAAGTAATGAATAAAAGAAACATTTAAACTTTTCATAATCAGTTGTCTTAGCCATTGCTTTTCATCAAATGTTTAAAAGGTCAATTGCTATAGTTTGATAACTTTACGATTGCCTATGACTATTTCTTGTACATAATTTGATGGAGCTGAGTCTGATTCATACCTTTTGATGTGCCGTAAAGTGAGCCAACATCAATAGCCACAACACCAACAACAGAAGACATGAGAATGATGCTGCCAAAACCCGATGCCTTAAGAAGATGATAGGCAAGCTGGCATATATGGTAAGTTGATTCAAGGTTGGTGCTCATTATAGCTGCATAATCTTCTGCTGTGAAATCTGTTGTTGGCTTCTTTAGGTATGTCCCAACGTTGCTTACCTACATAGGATTTAACCAAAAACAAGTTTCTAGTAAAAACAAATCAATGAAAAAGAAAACAAAAGGCCAATAATCTGTCCTTTTCTAGTAGATGTGGTCAATGGACCAGGCTAGATCAGTCTCGACATGGACTGGTGAAGGCGGTGGATGGGAACGAGTGCTTATGCTCCATTCAAGTTTCATTGTAAGAAATACAGGAGCGTTGCACAAATGAATAAATGAGAGCTAAGAATATACACTAACCAGGATATTTAGTTTGCCATTGAACTCAGAGGAAATAGTTTCCATGAGCTTTTCTCTCTGGGATCGAGATGTTAAATCACAAACAGAACAACTGACTTGAAAGCCTTTGGCCTCCCAATCACGTTTGCAAGCTTCGAGTTCAGACTCGTTTCTAGCACATGTATGAACCTTAGCCCCTAGTCCTGCTAGCTCTTCCACAACTGCATGTCTGCAATCAAAATAAGCAAAACAGAAATCATTCTCAGTATAATACCAACATGAGCATGCTTGTATGAATACTTAAAATCAGCAAGTTTATAATAATCATGAAGGAAAAGGGAACAGAAAGAAAACCCGATTCCTTTAGAGCCCCCGGTAACAAGAGCAGTCATGCCAGTAAGAGACCATCGTTTGTTTCTGCAACTGCTACCGGAGTCAGACATCAGATAATCCCTCTGCAGTTCTACTAATGGAAAATTATAGAGTTTGAATGTCTTTATCTTTCACCACTACACTACTAGCAATTCAGTAAATATATGTCTTATATGCTAAGATGCCTTCATTTAAATTATAGAGAAGTCATTATTGGCAGGCTGGTTATAGATGACAAGACCTTTGTGGCTGTGGAAACTTCAGTTTGGATTTGTGGGAGCTTCAATTTGGAATTTTCATTCCCCATTGTCTGACGACGTCATTATTTCCATCATTGATAGCTACTCAGGGAACATATGGAGCTCGAAATCAAAGTAGTATCATGTTTTATTAGGTATTAATGAACATTAAGTCAAACAAAATCATGTCAATAAGACAACAAGGACATAAGACCTCTAGTGAAAAATGAGAATCTTTGAGGGAATTTTTTGCAATAAACGATAATCCGGAGGATAACTTAATGCAAGACTTCGTATATAATATGGAGTAGTAGAACGATGTAACATTTATAATGAAGTACATAGCACCATTATTAGATAAGATATGACTAGTAAGTTCAGGTAAGAATTCTGGCTAATAAGATCAGACAAGATTATCAGTGAATTCAGATGAAGAAAAACAACTTATTCATTTCAAGAGGATGTTCATCGGAGTGAAATTGAAATAGATGAAGAGTCAGGATAATGTGACAATAAATATTGTTCTGAGGGAGTACATGATTACATACAACTTAATAGAACAAGCTCGAAGCTCCTGATTTGTCTCTACTAATACTTCAGGAATCCAAGCCAGTCATCTAGCCAATTGTCGGCCAGTAATGTAAGAAGCAGCAGGCATGCATAAGAATGCCACTAGGGCAGACACTTCTTCCATCTACCTTGTTCTTCCAAGAGTTCTTCCTAATACTCCTTCCAAATATTTTTTGTCATTAAGGGTCTGCAACATTTCAGAAAAAAGGATGACAAACCAATACTTGTATTCAGATTTTGTTAGTATAGGCGCACAATCATGTACCCACGATATTTAAGGCTCAACTTTGAACATTAATATCTTTAAATTCATATTGACCAAAAGTTTACGACAATAAAAATGAGCAGTTGAAGTAAACCTTCAATAACATTCAAACAAAGTTAATTGGATGGAATACAGTATTAAGTTATGGCATTACCTCTTCAGTAAGAGGAGTACGGATGTACCAAGGTGCAACAGAATTGATTCTGATATTATCCTTTGCCCACTCACATGCTAAACTCTTTGCTAATTGGTTCATTGCTCCTGTCAAAAAAAAAAAAAAAAAAAAAAAACCTCCATAAACTTTACTTTTAAACTCATATAATTCATATTGAACAAAATTAAAAGTAATGAATAAAAGAAACATTCAAACTTTTCATGACCAGTTGTCTTAGCCATTGCTTTCATCAAATGTTTATAAGGCCAATTGCTATAATTTGAGAACTTTACGATTGCCTATGTGTTAGAATCCAACCTCTTTGTTATGTATTCTTCTTTATTTTCCTTGTATTTTCCTTATATAATGTCTCTTTAGTCTTTCTTTTTATTTTTCTAGACCCTAGGGAGAATTATTGTGTTACTGTCATTTCAACGTTCACTTGTAATTCTCTACTAATGCAATATAAAGCTCTTTAGGGAGCGAATGGTTATTCAATCAAAGCTCTCTACCCCGTTGTTATTGCTTTAAGACTTGTGTGTTGTTTAAGCCTTTATAGATATTGTGCTTGCCTTGTTTTAAAGCATCCCCCACCAAACCAAGAGACCCTAGAGACGTCCTCATTTTCGTCGGTTCCGCTTGTGCCCGCTTCGAAGTATCGGCCGTCACAAGCCCCGACTCCGCACTCGTTGTTCTCGTGTGCCCTCTTGAGACACCGTAGGTCCGTGTTGCTGTGTGCTCACGAACCTCCTTACTTTAGGCTTGCGCCCTTGTCGCCAAAAGACGAGAGCGCGCCGCACGATCTGGTGTTGAATCACTCGGACCGTGACAGTTTGGTATCAGAGCCAGGTTTGCCATAGAGATGGCAGAAGAAGGAGAGATGCATGAATACACATTCGAGGAAAGACTTGCTTGGCTTGAAGGCAAGTCCGAACAGTGGGCTATGCTTGAAGAAAGGCTTCCCAAACTCGAGGATATTGTAATAAAACAAGCCGACCAAATAGAGAGGCTTGCCGCTACTGTGGATGGGTTAACGGAGCAACTTAACTTCGTGCAAGGCGTCGCTGATGAAGCACAAGATAAATGTGCAACCTTAATGCGTGCCCAGAGAGGGCTCGGGGGAAGTGGAGGTGCCAAGATAAAACCTCCAAGCCTCGGACCTTCAATGGCACGAGAGATTTAAAAGAAGTCGATAATTTCATTTTCGACATGGAGCAATACTTTCGGGTCTGTCAGTTGGAGAATGAGTTAAAAGTTGATACCGCCACTATGTATTTGGTGGATGATGCAAAGCTTTGGTGGCGCACCAAGTACGCCGACATCCAAGCTAAGAGGACGTCGGTGGATACTTGGGAGGATCTGAAGAAAGAGCTGATGGCCCGATTTTATCTCGAGAATACCGAGTTTGTTGCTCGCACCAAGCTCGCTGCTTTGCAGCATAAGGGTTTTATCCGGGAGATGTCAAAGAGTTTTCAGCGTGCATGTTGGAGATCCACAATATGTCCGAGGAAGATCGCCTATTCAACTTTGTGCGTGGTCTTAAGGAATGGGCCCAAAGAGAAATTTGGCGCCAAAAGATTGATACTTTATCGGGAGCCATCGCTGCAGCCGAAAGGTTGATGGACTACTCCTCAGAGAAAGGACAAGGTTTGAAGAAAGGGAATAGCGGGCCGACACCGAACCCTCCTAGGAACTCCGGACATGGCTCGCAAGTGAGCTCCAACAACTCGAACAATAGATACAATAGGAGTGGGGGAGAAGACTCTCGGAAGAGTGGAGCTTCTTCCTTCTCTAATAGAGGAAGCACCCCTAGTTCATCTTCGGCAGCCAGGCCATTGACGTGTATCCTTTGCCGAGGACCGCACAAGTGGTTTGAATGTCGACACAAGGGAGAAATTGACAATCTCCAAAAGAAACTGTCCTCCATGTCCTTAGAAAACCCCGAGGGTGAAGAAGCCGATGAGGTAGAACCTAGTGAAGGAGAACATTCCAGACTGGGGACCATTCGCATGATGTGCGCTATGGGAAGAGAAGGCTCTGAGGGCCAACCCAAAAACTCTGGATTGATGTATGTGAATGCGTTGGGAAACGGAAAGGAAACTCGTGCCATGGTGGATACCGGTGCTACCCACAACTTCATTTCAGAAAAGGAGGCAAAAAGACTTGGGTTGAAGCTCCTACCAGAAGGAGGCAGTATGAAAGCGGTGAATTCAGTTGCCAAATCGATCCACGGCGTTGCCAAGAAAGTAACAATGAAGCTGGGAGATTGGAGCGGACAGGTGGACTTTACCGTTGCGCCAATGGATGACTTCAGCTTGGTGCTCGGCATGGACTTCTTACACTTTAGTAAGGCAGTCCCGATGCCGCATCTTAGATCTATTCTGGTGCCTGGGTAGCAACCATGTCTCCTCCGAACCTGCGATCCGGGAAAAGGGCCGAAAGGGCCCCTCCTTTCAGCAATGCAATTGGAGAAGGGGTTGAAGAGGAACAAGCCCACGTTCCTAGCAACACTTTCCACGAAGGAAGAGAGCATTAAATAAGGTTACGGTGCGCAATCACTACCCTATCCCTTTGGTGGCGGATTTGTTCGATTTGTTAGGGGATGCAGTGTACTTTACAAAGCTAGACTTGAAGTCTGGCTATCACCAAGTTCGTATCGCCGAAGGAGATGAACCAAAAACTGCTTGTGTGACGAGATACGGGGCATACGAATGGCTAGTCATGCCCTTCGGCTTGACGAATGCACCTGCTACGTTCTGTACTCTGATGAACCAAGTATTTCGAGAGTACTTAGACAAGTTTGTGGTCGTGTACCTCGATGATATCGTTGTCTACAGCAAGACTTTGGAGGAGCACCTCGAGCACCTAAGATTGGTCTTCGAGAATCTGAGAGAACATCACCTTTTTGTGAAACGAGAAAAGTGTGCCTTTGCGCAGGAAGAAGTCGGATTTCTTGGACACTTTGTGGGGAAGGGTCGATTGAGGATGGACCTAAAGAAGATATGTGTTGTTCGCGATTGGCGGGATCCCAAGAACCCCTCTGCGATCCTTTCTAGGACTGGCGAACTATTATAGAAGATTCATTAAGGGATACTCAGAGATCGCAAGTCCCCTCACCGACCTATTGAGGAAAGATTGTCGTTGGGAATGGTTAGGGCCCCAGAAGGAAGCTTTCCAGAAGTTGAAAGAAGCAATGGTGAAGGAGCCGGTCCTTGCCCTTCCAGACATCACCAAACCATTCGTGGTCGAGACGGATGCTTCGGATTTTGCTTTAGGAGGAGTGCTCCTCCAAGAAGGACATCCTATTGCATTCGAAAGTAGGAAGCTGAATAATGCGGAGAGAAGGTATGCGGCACAAGAAAAGGAGCTACTAGCCATTATGCACTGCCTAAGAGGATGGAGGCACTACTTGTTCGGGTCAAAGTTTACCGTCCGCACAGACAACACCGCGGCGAGTCACTTTCTCACCCAACCCAAGCTGACAGGAAAACAAGCTCGGTGGTAGGAGGACTTAGCTGAGTTCGACGTGGAGTTCACCTATAGAACGGGATCCAGCAATAGAGTTTCCGATACCCTGAGTAGGCGGGCCGATCTTGCTGCGATGTACAAGTTAGCGCTAATGACTGCAAGCAGCATTGCCACATCCGTTAGAGATCAAGTTCGTGCTTATCTCCCAGATGATCCGATGACAAAAACCATAACAAGGATGATTGAAGAAGGGAAGACTAGACGCTTTTGGTTGGAAGATGGCCTCATCTTCACCAAAGGTACAAAGCTGTTCATCCCCAAAGCAGGGGGATTGAGGAAAATGTTGTTGAAGGAATGCCATGATACGCTGTGGGCGGGACATCCAGGTTGGCAGAGAACCATCAGTCTACTCGCGATGGGGTACTACTGGCCAGGAATGAAGGAAGATGTGATGAGCTACACCAAAACCTGCCTTGTGTGCCAGCAAGACAAGGTTGACAGACAGAAGCCCGGGGGCCTCCTTGAACCTCTTCCTGTACCAACTCGACCGTGGGAGAGTGTGTCGATGGACTTCATTAGTGGCCTCCCGAAGGTTGACCAGTTCTCTTCTATCATGGTGGTGATAGACAGGTTCTCAAAATACGCAACGTTTGTACCCTTGCAGAAGGCTTGTGGAGCAAAAGAAACGACGCCGCTCTTCTTTAAGCATATTGTGAAATACTGGGGATTGCCAAAGAGCATAGTAAGCGACAGGGATACCACGAGCATATTCTGGTCTGAGCTATTCCAAATGATGGGGTCTGACCTCAACATGTCGTCAAGCCACCACCCTCAATCTGATGGGCAGACAGAGAGATTCAATGGGCTTCTCGAGGAATACTTACGTCACTTTGTGAGCGCCAACCAGAAAGATTGGGTGAGACTTTTGGACGTCGCACAACTTTGCTTCAACGCTCAAAGGAGTTCTTCTTCCAACAAAAGCCCCTTTGAGTTGGTCATGGGTCAACAACCTCTCCTCCCGCACACAGTGGCTAACTGGGAGGGCGATAGGAGTGCTCAGGCTCGAGATTTTACAAGAGAGTGGAAGCAAAACACCGACATTGCGAAAGCCTACCTAGAGCGAGCATCGCGCCAGATGAAGAAATGGGCTGATCAAAACAGAAGGCCAGTTGATTCTGCTATTGGGGACATGGTGATGGTGAAGGTCTTACCAAAACAGCTGAAGTTTCTCAGAGGGAGAGATCGTCGCCTCATTCGGAAATATGAAGGCCCCATCCGCATCACTAAACGGATTGGGAAGAACGCATACAAGGTAGAACCGCCTACGTGGATGAGGATTCACCCCGTCTTCCACGTTAGTCGTCTAAAACCCTACCATCCAGATCCCGACGACAACAACCGCAACGTCAGCTACCACGCCAAGAGCCACCCCTACAACAGAAGACTGAAGCTGCTAAGATCTTAGTGTAGATTTTGTAAGTCGACGAGGACGTCGACGACTTAAGTGGGGGAGGATGTTAGAATCCAACCTCTTTGTTATGTATTCTTCTTTATTTTCCTTGTATTTTCCTTATGTAATGTCTCTTTAGTCTTTCTTTTTATTTTTCTAGACCCTAGGGAGAATTATTGTGTTACTGTCATTTCAACGTTCACTTGTAATTCTCTACTAATGCAATATAAAGCTCTTTAGGGAGCGAATGGTTATTCAATCAAAGCTCTCTACCCCGTTGTTATTGCTTTAAGACTTGTGTGTTGTTTAAGCCTTTATAGATATTGTGCTTGCCTTGTTTTAAAGCATCCCCCACCAAACCAAGAGACCCTAGAGACGTCCTCATTTTCGTCGGTTCCGCTTGTGCCCGCTTCGAAGTATCGGCCGTCACAAGCCCCGACTCCGCACTCGTTGTTCTCGTGTGCCCTCTTGAGACACCGTAGGTCCGTGTTGCTGTGTGCTCACGAACCTCCTTACTTTAGGCTTGCGCCCTTGTCGCCAAAAGACGAGAGCGCGCCGCACGATCTGGTGTTGAATCACTCGGACCGTGACACTATGACTATTTCTTGTACATAATTTGATGGAGCTGAGTCTGGTTCATACCTTTTAATGTGCTGTAAAGTGTACCAACATCAACAGCTACAACGCCTGCAACAGAAGACATGAGAATGATGCTGCCGAAACCCGATGCCTTAAGAAGAGGATAGGCAAGCTGGCATATATGGTAAGTTGATTCAAGGTTGGTGCTCATTATAGCTGCATAATCTTCTGCTGTGAAATCTACTGTTGGCTTATATAGGCATGTCCCAACATTGCTTACCTACATAGGATTTAACCAAAAACAACATGTTTCTAGTAAAAACAAACCAATGAAAAAGAAAACAGAAGGCCAATCTGTCCTTTTCTAGTAGATGTGGCCAATGGACCAGGCTAGATCAGTCTCGACACGGGCTGGTGAAGGCGATAGATGGGAAAGAGTGCTTATGCTCCATTCAAGTTCAAGTTTCATTATAAGAAATACAGGAGCGTTGCACAAATGAATAAATGAAAGCTAAGAATATACACTAACCAGAATATTTATTTTGCCATTGAACTCAGAGGAGATAGTTTCCATGAGCTTTACTCTCTGGGATCGAGAGGTTACATCACAAACAGAATAACTGACTTGAAAGCCTTTGGCCTCCCAATCACGTTTGCAAGCTTCGAGTTCTGACTCGTTTCTAGCACATGTATGAACCTTAGCCCCTAGTCCTGCTAACTCTTCCACAACTACATGTCTGCAATCAAAATAAGCAAAACAGAAATCTTTCTCAGTATAATGCCAACATGAGCAGCTTGTATGAATACTTAAAATCAACAAGTTTATGATATTAATGAAGGAAAAGGGAACAGAAAGAAAACCCGATTCCTCTAGAGCCTCCGGTAACAAGAGCAGTCATGCCAGTAAGAGACCATCGTTTGTTTCTGCAACTGCTACCAGAGTCAGACATCAGATAATCCCTCTGCAGTTCTGCTAATGGAAAATTAAAAAGAGTTTTTGAATGTCTTTATCTTTCACCACTACACTATTAGCAATTCAGAAAATATATTTCTTATATGCTAAGATGCCTTTATTATAGAAAAGTCAGTATTGGCAGGATTTGTGGCTGTGGCTGTGGGAACTTCCGTTTGGATTTGTGGGAGCTTCAAATTGCAATTTTCATCCCCCGTTTTCTGACAACGTCATTATTTCCATCATTCATAGCTACTCAGTGAACATATAGAGCTCAAAATCAAATTAGTAACATGTTTTATCAGGTATTAATGAACTTGAAGTCAAACAAAATCATGTCAATAAGGACATAAGACCTCTAGTGAAAAATGATAATCTTTGAGGGAATTTTTTTTTGCAATAAACGATGCTATGGAGGATAACTTAATACAAGACTTCGTATATAATATGGAGTAGAGTAGTAGAACGATGTAGCATTTATAATGAAGTACATAGCAGCATTATTAGATAAGTTATGACTAGTAAGTTCAGGTAAGAATTCTGGCTAATAAGATAAGATTATCAGTGAATTCAGATGATGAGAAACAACTTATTCATATCAAGAGGAGGGTCATCAGAGTGAAATTTAAATAGATGAAGAGTCGGGATAATGTGACAATAAATATTGTTCCGAGGGAGTACATGATTACATACAACTTATTAGAACAAGCTCGAAGCTCCTGATTTGTCTCTACTAATACTTCAGGAATCCAAGCCAGTCATCTAGCCAATTGTCGGGTTGTATCCATTGACAGTAAAACCTCCATCAACACAAATGGTCTGGCCAGTAATGTAAGAAGCAGCAGGCATGCATAGAAATGCCACTAAAGCAGACACCTCTTCCATCTCCCCTGTCCTTCCAAGAGGAGTTCTTTCTATTACTCCTTCGAAATATTTTTTGTCATTAAGAGCCTGCCAAGTTTCAGACAAAAAAGGATGACGAACTAATACACTTGTATTCAGATTTTGTTAGTATAGGCAATCAGGCACGCATGATATCTAAGCCTGAACTTTGAACAACAACTAACCCCCCAAGGTCGGAGTAATAGTACTCCCTTTGTAGTCCTGTAATTTCAGTAAGTCACTGATGCAGAGGTGAAAAATTATTTATAGATAGAAAGAGTACGAGATCTTATGCTATAAATGGAATTTAGTCTAATGTTATGCCATTACCTCTTCCACAAGAGGGGTACGAATGTACCAAGGTGCGACAGAGTTGATTCTGATATTATCCTTTGCCCACTCACATGCTAAGCTCTTTGCTAGTTGGTTCAGTGCTCCTGTCAATACACCATAATATTACACCACACTCATATAAGTCATACGAAGTATTTAGCTGAAGTAAAAGTAAATAATACAAGAATCGTCTAAACTTTTCATAGTCAATTGGCTTAGCCTTTGCTTTTCATCAATTGTTTAAAAGACAAACTGCTATTATTTGAGAGCTTTATTTACAACTGCCTGTGACTATTACTTATACATAATGTGATGAGGTTCGATAAATACCTTTTGATGCGCTGCCAAGTGAGCCAGTATCGACAATTCGACAGCCACAACTCCAGCAACGGAAGTTATGAGAATGATGCTGCCAAACCCTGATTCCTTGAGTATAGGATGGGCAAGCTGGCATAAATGGTATGTTGATTCAAGGTTGGTGCTCATTATAGTTGTATAATCTTCGGCTGTATAATTTGTTGTTGGCTTCTTTAGGTAAGTCCCAACATTGTTCACCTACATAGGATGTGACCAAATACAACATACTTCTAGTAATAATATAACATTGAAAAAGAAGCAGAGGGCAAATCTGTTATTTTCTAGCCGTGGGCATGTGGCCAATGGACCAGGCTAGATCAGGTTCAGCATGGACTGGTGAAGGCGGTGGATTGGAGCACATGCTTACTCTACTTTCAAATTTCAATGTGAGATGTCACAGATGAGATCTAAGAATACTAACTAACCAGGATATTAAGCTTGCCATTGAACTCGGAAGAGACAGTTTCCATGAGCTTTTCTCTCTGGGATCGAGAAGACACATCACAAACAGAATAACTGACTTGAAAGCCTTTCGATTCCCAATCACGTTTGCAAGCTTCAAGTTCAGACTCGTTTCTAGCACATGTATGGACCTTTGCCCCTAGTCCTGCTAGTTCTTCCACAACTGCATGTCTGCAATCAAAATGAGCAAAAAAAAAAAAAAAAAAAAACCCTTTAGTACCAACTTGAGCATGCATGTATGAGCAAGCAACGGTAATAATGAAGGAAAAGGGAACAGAGAGAAAACCCGATTCCCTTAGAGCCCCCGGTAACAAGAGCAGTCATGCCAGTAAGAGACCATCGTTTATTTCTGCAACTGTTACCTGATTCAGACATCAAATCACCCTTCTGCAATTCTGCTAATGCAAAATTACAGTCTGAAATTTTTTTATCCTTCAGACCTTCACCACTACACTACCAGCACTACAACAAATATAAGTTCTTTTATGCTAAGATGCCTTCAATATAGATGATAAGGCCTTTGTGGCTGTCGGAGCTTCAAATTGGATTTTTGTTCTTCCCTTCTCTGACAACGTTGCTATTTCTATCTTTTCGATGAATAGTTCGAGCTCAATATCATTAGTCTCACGTTTTAGTAGGTGTAAATGAAGTTGAAGTTTACAAAGTCTTGTGAATAAGGGCATTAGGCTGTTCTGATTGTTTACAGTTTGATTTATATACGCTCATAAATAATACAGTAGCTTGAAATCTAACCTTTTCAATAGATTGCTATTTAAATTTATCAGGTGAATAATTAGATTTTAACTTCACCATTGTTTATATATGCTCATAAACTTATACTAGTCCATAACGTCATATAATAATGCAGACCTTGGAAGCAAACGAGCTAATTAAGTTCAGCTAGTTATGAAAGAATGAGGCTCATTTGCGAAGTCTACTCTATTTCAATGAACAAGCCAAAGGCAAGCCAATTCCAAATGCACTCAATCCTAAACTAACTCAAGAAAGAAAAAAAAAACTCGACTCAACACTAAATCTCGGTCTCAGCCGAGCAATATGCTTCAGCAATAGTAGGTAATACCTTTTTTATAGACAAGAAGGTAATGCTTAATCAACCATACATATCCCATGCACAATCAGAGGAAGAACAAAATATTAGTATGATACAAATCATATCATTTCAAGAAAGTTTAGCAAGCATAATGATAATTTATTGTAATTCCATACAAAGTATTTGTCATACTTCCATACATAGCGTGCACGTTTTGATTGAAAAATAAATACACTGATTAGTTTATCACTGTAGCTTTTATTACATAATTGAATTTTAAGGAAAGCTTATCACCATAGCTTATATTACACATGGCTGGATACATAGCCACTGATTGTAAAACCTCCATCAACACAAATGGTCTGGCCAGTAATATAAGACGCGGCTGGCATGCATAGGAATGCCACCAACGACGATGACTCTTCCAGCTCTCCTATTCTTCCAAGAGGAGTTCTCCTTTCAACTCCTTCCAAGAATTCTTTGTTACTAAGTACCTGCCACCAATCCCAAGCCCAGTGTGAGGAATTGGGCTAACTATCCTAGAGCTAAGGGTTAACACATTATGGATTTTCAGTGCTAAGTAAACAATTTACAAAAGGTACATTTCTCTGTTTTATGACTTTATCTCAAAATTAAGCAATTTCATGATTACAAATTTACTAGTATGAAATTATTATTATTATTATTATTATTATTATTATTATTATTATTATTATTATTATTATTATTATTATTATTATTATTATTATTATTATTATTATTATTATTATTATTATTATTTTATTATTATTATTATTATTATTATTATTATTATTATTATTATTATTATTATTATTATTTATTATTATTATTATTATTTTTTTTTTTTTTTTTTTTTTTTTTTTTTTTTTTTTTTTTTTTTTTTTTTATTATTATTATTATTATTATTATTATTATTATTATTATTATTATTATTATTATTATTATTTATTATTATTATTATTATTATTATTATTATTATTATTATTATTTTTTTTTTTTTTTTTTTTTTTTTATTATTATTATTATTATTATTATTATTTATTATTATTATTATTATTATTATTATTATTATTATTTATTATTATTATTATTATTATTATTATTATTATTATTATTATTATTATTATTATTATTATTATTATTTATTATTATTATTATTATTATTATTATTATTATTATTATTATTATTATTATTATTATTATTATTATTATTTTACTCTCAGAAATCAGTATGTGGGTTGTAAGAAATTCTAGGAGATATTTGATGTAAAAAGACACAAGTTCAAGATACATGATAAACACTTTCCTAATAGTTATTTATCGACTCTTTTTGGAACAATTGATTTACACGATAAGCATAAAACTATTGGGATACAATGAAAAACCAATCAGCTATGCTTGTTTTTACAATACTAATTTAACAAAGTTTGAGAGGAAATGTGTTTGTTTCACTCTAAGAAAATTACTACAGTTTTTCTCTCAAAGTAACCAAGAAGATTTGAATAAATTTTATTTATATCCACCACATGTCATAAATATAGAAATTTGCATGAACAATCAGTTAATATCCGAATAGATATGACTGCTCACAAAGCAACTGTCCAAAACACTGAAACGGTCCGTCTGCCTGATTGCCTGCCCCGGCCAGGTGCGCAACAAACTTAGGAAAATCGTAATGATTGCTTGATCAAACGTTGTATCCTAACATTGCTCCTCATTTTTTGCTTTGAATTAAAACTTAGCATATCCATTAAACTAATCCTCCTCAACGCCTAGTATAGTTAAACTTCATATATGAATATGCGATACATAACCTCCATCTATTCCATAAGTGTTCCAACATAAATATTTAATGGATAACGCAACACACGTGTGAGTGGTGTGAGGTGTGACTACCCCCCATAACCCACTTCAATGAGAGGCATTGGAGTAACAATACATTTTGTGCAATACAAAATTATCAAGTTATGTTGTTACCTTTTCAGTAAGAGGGGTACGGATGAACCATGGTGCAACAGAATTGGTCCTGATATTGTCCTTTGCCCACTCACATGCCAAGTACTTTGCTAGTTGGTTCATAGCTCCTGCCAAGAGTATACATAGATATATCACACATATTTATCCATTTAAAAGCAAAGGATTTCAGATTCAACTGGATATTTGATCATCATTTCCCTTGGCTTTTTCCAGATCAAATGCTAGGAGTTTTTAAGAGCACAGGGTACACCAAATCAAGTATATTTTGTTCTTTTGTATGTTATTGTCATCCACAGTTAAAAAAACATCAAAGTTTAGGATTCATGTTTTGTTTTATTTTTATATAATGTGCCACAGTTTAATTAATACCTTTGGTAGTGCCATAAAGAGAGCCAACTTCGGCAGCCACAACACCAGCAACGGAAGATATGAAGATGATGTTTCCAGACCCAGATGCTTTGAGAAATGGGTGAGCAAGTTGGCTTAAATGGTAAGTTGATTCAAGGTTGGTGGCCATTACAGTTGCATAGTCTTCAGTGGTGACCTGTTCTGTTGGCTTTTGTATGAAAGTCCCAGCGTTGTTGACCTAATTAGATTTCACCAAAAATAAATACCAACTATTAGTGAAACCAAGAAACAACTCTCTGTTGAACATCTTGGATATAGGTTAATACCCATTACTACATACTAACCAAAATATGGAGCTTGCCATTGAACTTGGAGGAGACAATCTCCATCAGTTTCTCTCTCTGTGTTTGAGATGTTACATCACAGACAGAACAACTGACTTGAAAGCCTTTAGTCTCCCAACTGCGTTTGCATGATTCAAGTTCATCCTCATTTCTAGCACATGTATGAACCCTTGCCCCAAAGCTAGCCAGTTCTTCAACAACTGCATGCCTGCAAGATGAGAGCAGAAATTTAATCAAAAACTCACCTACATATCATAAGATATGTCAGTTACACTTATAGATTTAAATAGAGAGATAATGAACATATAAAACAACATATTTGAAACATATATTTTGTGAAGTAGGACAATCACTGTGAAACAAAGGGAATATTAAATTATTAATACATTGATACTGAATTGTGCATGCATGAATCAAATTAGCAAGCTCTCAAATTAATACAAAGATAGAAGGAAAAGGGGGGCAAGGAGTAACCCAATTCCTTTAGTGCCCCCAGTGACAAGGGCAGTCATGCCAATAAGAGACCATCGTTTGACAATGCAGCTGCTACCAGATTCAGACATCACCCTACGTATTACACTGGATCTAAACTCCGAATAATGTATTTTGTACCGCCATACTACTAGCACTTCTATTATATACTACTCCGCCCAGAAGTGAAATGACATATCCCGCCTACTGCAGTTGATAATAAGGCCATGTGGCTGCAGGAGCTGCTTTAGATTTTACATTAATGGTAACTGTTGAAAAAATCAGCCAATGAAACCGTGCACGCTACTTTTGACAGGTTGCCTCTAGTAGAAACTTAGAAAGTGCTATAACATACAAGTTTGAACTTTGGTGCTTCTTGTAACTTGCATAAGCATATAACCTTCAATCAGAAATTGTGCACAGTACTTTTGACAGGTTGCTTCCAGTAGAAACTTAGAAAGTGATATAACATACTAGTTTGAATTTTGGTGCTCCTTGTAACTTGTACAAGCATATAACCCTCAGTCATTAACTCCAGTCTAAAAAGACAAGAGGTATAATCCATCATGTGATTAAATTTGGCAAAAGTATACAGCCAAAGCCACCATACCTCATAAAATTGGTCAAGGAGCTATCCTATACCGAAGAACACAAATCCAAATATTTTTCTGTTGTGTTCATGAGCGGGTGTGCATGCAGAGTATGTAATTATTGTAATGCATGCATTTTAATAGAATAAAATCAAATGAGTATCATAACACAGTTACATCCAAACAAAATTCAAGTTAGTATCCAGTCCCAACTCAAAACTCGAAAGTGAAAATTTTACAAGATGGCTAAATATTATCTTTGGATGAAAAAAAGACTACTTTACTAATTACATGGTTAACTTATAAAACAGAATCAAAAGTTTCCAAAAAAAGCTTTACACTACAGATATATCATATATGTGTTGAATGATAGAAAGTAAAATATATATATAACAAAGTACATGTACAATAGAAACTGATTAAATTGCTTAGAGAAAGAATTATCATCATTGTGAGAGAACGCATGATAATTGAAGGAAAAATAGCATTCAACCTAATAGGTAGATTGAATTTATGAACAGGTCAAAAAGTTGGACAAGATATAAATCAATCTTTCAGATTGTCATGAGCTGAACTAACAGAAGACCATAATCCAACGTGATTAGCAGGATTTTCTTGGCAAGTAAACAATAACTTCACTAAAAACACAGACTCCAACCAATAGCTTGAGTAACATCATCAAGGTCTGGAAACACATCTTCACTCTTAAAAGATATTCCAAGTCTTTACGGAACAGTGTAATAGGAGTGAGCAAATCCTTTTGACAGAAAACTCGAATCATATATACTTCTTTTCTCTTTCTCCACTGAAAAATATTTGTCATATGGCCTTAGCTTCTACTTTGTCCTCTCTAATCCAAACACAATGTCCCCTTGATTGGTAACTCTGCATTCTGTAAGCAGAACTAAAGATCTTATAGCTTCATTTTCACACATATACTGATATACATGTATATAAATGACTATCTGGATAAAAACACCTACATAGACCAAGGGTTCATATTTCATCCAACATTTATCATCAGGAACCATCTTAAGAGCTTCATTCACATTTTTTTTCCAGTTAATATGCAACAAGAAATATGACGACAAGATCAACCTAACGTTGATCACTTGATCCCGGCTGATGGTGGGGTATGAACAGTGGAGAAGTTGTTTCAAGTAGAAAAGTGGAACCATATTCCTGAAGGAAAAAAGTTTAACTTCTGCATCTTTCAGTTGAAAAGTAAAACTCAGACTCTCAAAGCTACCTTACCTCAAAATTAACTTATAAAGTTAAGAGTTGATAAATTTTATTTACTCCTCTGGTCACAATGTTCTTTCCGCTTCAGTGTTAATCATCTCGTTTACTCGGCAATTTTACCACAACTTTGCTACCAGTCTTTCCTCAAATAACAAAATAACTGTTCAAGAAATGGTGTTATGCTGTCAAATATATTTTATGAAACTTTCTGTCCATTTATTTGAAATTTGTACTGAATTGATGACATTCAATCCTTAATGCAATTTCAAATGCAGCAGATAACCCTTGCCATGTTCTTATTCACAAATGCTTTTACGTGGTATTTCTATGACTTCGCTCAAGTTTGTATCATTTTGCTTAGATGAGAGCTTATTATACTAAGTATAAACAAGAGGAGGCTGCAAGGGGCTCAGGGTAAGCCAAAGATAGAAACTAATTTAATTTAGGGCACAGTGTTTGTCCGTGTTCAGCCTAAAGGGTTGCCGTCAGGAATGCACTCAACAATTTTCTTTCACTAAATGTGACTAATTTACTAGGCATCCTAACATAGAAAAGTGACTTTTATTCTGCCAAGATCATACCTAAGATTAATGTCAAATATAATGCAAAACCCTAATTTCGATACAAAATGTAGTCCGAAATAATGAACAAGCCGTGAGAGCACAAACAATCGATGAACAAGCAGTGAGAGAACGAACAATTCGTTGTCTGACACGTGAATAAAATTTACTAAAGTCAAAGAAAGGATCTACAAATACATGTCGAGATGCCAAGTAACCCAAGCATGTGTTTCAAGCATAGATGAAGACAGGCAATATAAAAAAGGCCAGACAAAGGTTGCACAATCGTCAATAACACTTTCTCAGCATCTACTTTCACTTTTTCATTCTGCATTCACATACCAACATCACCTCACAGTTCATGGTTGTTGTTAGTGATGTCTGGTGACAACATCTGGTTACACTGACAAGAGGAAAGACACACAAACACAGCAAGATGGAAGGGAGAGATTTTTGGGGAAAAAAAAAAAGATGCTGAATTAATACATTTGTTGAAAAGGATAGAAGTTTGAGTGGACTTGAAAGAATGAGACATAAAGGAGAGAGAGAGAGAGAGAGAGAGAGGGAGGAATATTAAATGTCGTGGACATCAAAAACTCAAATCAAAAGTAGGAAGTTTCCATTAGTTAAGGGGCAGCAAGGTAGTCGCAGAGGAAATAGAGTGAACAGAAAAGCTATGCTAATATTAATTTAACAAGAAGGCATAAAAGAGGCAAAGACACAATTACACATAATTTAACAGAGGAAGTGAGCTTACTAGCTACTGGAAATCAAATCTGGGATAGAAACCATTGATAGACATTCCACCATCGACACAAATAATTTGACCAGTAATGTAAGCAGATGCAGGGAGGCAGAGGAATGCAACCAAAGATGAGACTTCTGTTGGATCTCCAAGACGACAAAGTGGTGTATGAGAATAAACTTCTTCGAGATACTCTTCATTGCTTAAAACCTGAAAAAAAATTAAAATATAAAGCAGAATAAATGTTAAACTAACCCCTTACTATTATATAGCTCACTAACCCTACTCTGTCATCTATTAACTGGCAGGTCATAGGCTCATAGCAAGCATTTGAATTAAATTGTTTTGTAACACAAACCCTATTTTTGCATATTACTACCTTTGTTTCTTTTTAGTTGACACGTATTCCTTTTTAGGAAGTTTTTTTTAGTTGACACGTTTCCTTTTGGGGTAAATTATTTTACCTTGCATTTACAAGCTACCCCACTTGCTTTTTCATTCTCTCTCACTCTCTCCTCTCCTTAATATATGTGCCTAAATCAAACGTGTCAACTAAATAGAAACGGAGGAAGTATAAAATTGCACAAAGGATTATATTACATATGATAGACAACAATGCTACAGTGCTACTTGAAAAATCTTTACATTTGGATTTTGATTTTACAAAGTGATGATTAAAACGAACATCAACAACACTAAAATTATCAGCCAGAATGCTTAGGCTCACAGGCAAAAATATTGATCCAGAAAGAAGCAAAAGCTCAGAGTACAAACAGTAACCAAGGAAGTTATAATCACCTTTTCTACCATAGTGGTTTTGATATACCAAGGTGCAACAGCATTGCTCCTAATCTTATCTTTTGCCCATTCACATGCCAAATTTCGAGTAAGTTGATTAATTGCTCCTACAAACCAAAAAGTTCAAATGCAGACTTATTGACATGTACTTCTTGAGGAGTTACATAACAGGTCACACAAACAATAATCACTTGATCACCTTTAGTTGCTCCTTGAAGAGCCATTGATTTCAAGGAAACAAAACCAGAGACAGAAGAGACAAACACGATACTTCCACAGGCAGAAGCTTTTAGGAGGGGATGACCCAGCTGGCTCAAATGGAAAACAGACTCAAAATTTGTAGTCATCAATGTCGAATATTCTTGAGGAGTTAAGTGAACAATTGGTTTCCGTATATTTGTCCCGACATTGTTGACCTGCAAACACAAGTGATCAGAAACAAGCTATTTTCAGTGTCACCTGAGAGGAAGACCAATCAAAAAACAGGGAAAAAAATACACAATGTAAATAATTCTACATTCAGGACAAACAGAAGGTTAATTACACATTCATTCAGTGACCAAACAATCTCTGAAACAATGAGATAAGAGATAGGTTAGAAGCACAGCAATTCAAAAGACCTAATTGAACTGGTTATGTACTCCCTAGTCCACCGTTTCTTATCACTTTACAGAGAGAAAAAAGAATTTAAAATATATGTCCCACTTTTTTTAAATTATACCCAATCATTTTTTAAATATAGAAACATCCAAAAAGAAAAATGTGACAACTGATAAAGCACAGGAGGAGTTATAAAAGCAGGAGAAAATTTGAGGTAGATTCACCCAGCAAACTATCTTATAGATGTGAGGTAAGAGCATCATCAAGGTTCGCTTACAGCCTCCACCCTCCCTCTCTATGTCCCTATCCTATCTGTCCCATCTAATATATGAAAAGATGCTTCCTCATTCTATACTTTGTCTTATCTTGGCCGAGGAATATCAATCAATCAATCAAAGCCTTTAATTGAGACTGTGGAAGAGCCCTTTAATCCTAACTCTTGGATAAATTTCATCAAAATCATGCTCTAAAAGCAAGTTCAGATTAGCATAAACAAGTGGAAAGAACAAAGCCTCTAATGATTGTCATGTCACAGCAGCTCCCCATATCACAGGCAAGTCCGGAGCAACAAACTTAGTCAGTCAGCTCATTACATTGAGTTAATCAGAAAAAAGATCAATACTTATCCAATGCTGGCCACTTATAGTAGATGGGTAGTTAAAGTAGATTCTAGTTTGCCATATATAAACATTTTTTCCCCCAGTCGAATCTCTATATAAATACTTAATTTACTTATATAACAAGGTTCTGTATGATAACAAACTAACATACACTGAACCCTCTGCAGTCTGCAGTACCAGAAAATCCGAGCTGAAATTACTTACAAATCAAAGTAATCAAACTAATATCATTATCCTCTCACACCTACAATTGGGGAAGGAGAAACTCCATTACCACAAACTTCTCCAATTTCTATATAAGTTTAGACACCTCTTAGAACAGAAATATACACAAGCATTACACCATCATTATCACATGATATTAGCCTATAAAGCAAGTCAAAATCATATGATTTATTTTCGAAAATGTCATTTGATAAACAAAATTTGTTTATCACTGAGATAAACTTGTTTTCTGAAAATCAACCAACACAACGCAAAGTAGTTAAACCCTGAAACGTTGCAAGGAACTATCATACATATAAAACACTACTCCAAATTAATCAAATTAATACTAAAAACAACAAAATAAGATCAAAGTTAGACATTGACTTACAAGAATGTTAAGCTTGCCATTAAAAACAGAAGAAACAGTATCCATAAGCTTCTCCCTTTGCTCCCAAGAAGAAACATCACAAACAGACCCACTAACATTAAACCCTTGACTTTCCCAATTTTTCAAGCAATTTTGAAGCTCCAATTCATTTCTAGCACAAGTATGCACAATTGCTCCAAAACCCACCAATTCTTCAACAATTGCATGCCTAAACAAAATCCCAGATACCCTTTAAGCTAATTCATAAGAAAACAAATACCACATTTCACATAAAAATCACATCTTTTTAAATTTTGGAATTGTAATCACAAAAGGGCTGAATGAATTTAGAGAGAGTGACAAACCCAATTCCACGAGTGCCGCCGGTGACTAAAGCCGTCATTCCATGAAGAGACCACCGATTATCTTTCCTGCTTGTGGGTGTTTTTTGATTGTTGTTGCTGCTGCTGCTAATTGAGGAAGCAATTATTGAGTGATTTTTTGGGTGATTTTTTGAGGGAATTTTGGGGGTTAACCATGAAATTCTGGGTAAAAAAGATGCGTTTTGGAAAATTGAAGGAACATGAGATGAATTTGAGGTGGGATTAACAATGCTGATATTCATTTTGGAAAATTTTCCTAAATTTTTTTTACTCCTAAACCCGTAGATCTGCAAGTGTTAGTTTAGAAAGTACGAAGTATTTGAGATAAACAACTGTAGAGCTTGCACTCTTGGTAAGTTAGAGTTTGCTCTCTTTGTAGTTTGCTCAATACCTTATAAGTTATAAAGATAACTAATGCTAGTTTATACTGGTTTATTTTGATATTTATGTTTGATTGTTTTTTCTTAATATTTTGATAACTTATCTTAAAATTTCATGATTTGAAAAAAAATTTGTAAACACTAATTATAGTAAGACTTGTAACTTAGGCATGTCCGTTCCGTTTAATCAATTTAGTTCAATTCAACTCCAATCAGTTCAGTTCCGTTTCTAATTTTCTTCTATCATAAACGATTCATTTCAGCTCAGTTCAGTTCAGTTCGGTTTAATAAATTGGAATAGACCCTTAATACTTGTAGGTCTCGAGACTGGTTAACGGAAAATGTAATTATTTAATACTTATTGGCCTCGAGACTGGTTAACAAAAAAGGAAAAGTTCTTTTTTTTTAAACAACCATTTTGTGTTATTTCATGAAGTTTGAGATGAGATGATATCCATTTAAATATGAAATACTCCGTGGTATAATGAATATAAGAAGATAATTTGTTCAATTTCTTTTTGTTACAATTGTATTTTCATTTGTACTTAAATAATAAAGAACATACTATGCATAAATCATAAAGATCTATGGAGCATACTTTTTTAGAAGGATTATGGAGTCCGATACTACAAGCCAAATGTGTAAATGGACAAAAGATGTACCATGAAATTAATACAAATTATAGTAAGAAAAAAATAATAAGGTATTGAGAAAATTTTCATTGAACAAAAGCAAATCTATCTAAAAATAAATCCACTACATTTAGGGAGAAAATTGCATCTTGTACATATAATGTGACATAATTATAAATATGAATCGTAACCCAATATTTCATCATTTGCGCAAGATCTATATACTTGATCATGGTCACATTCTTCTCAATTTGATCTAAAATGTCACAACATTCTCGTCTACTTCCTACCTGTTGATTAATTAGGAAATAGTTAAATTAAATTCTATAAATAGTACGAAGTAGTAAAAATTTTACAAGTTTCATTTACCTGAGCAACATGTTTGGTAGTAGGAGAAATAACTATAATCTTGGTAATTTCACTAGGAAGGAAATTACTTTCATTTTTTGGTGATGGTCGTGAACAAGGTGGCAAATTGTGTTTGTGTAGTGTGTAAGAAGCTTCAAGTTTGCCACAACATCAAAATTCAACACAAAGCAAGGCAACTGCTAAGATCCAGCTCTCATGTAAACGAAGAGTTGCTCCTATTTCGGGTATTAGCTATGCTTAGAATTGATGTAGTAAGCTAGTAACTAGTTTATTACAAAATAAAAAATTTAATCTATGTAATAATTTGATTTTCCGATTCTTCTCATTCAATTTTCAAGCAATAAACTTTGGCTAAAGAAAGGAGGGGGCGATGTAATACATATACAGCATGAAACATATCTTTAGATGACAGATACATACTTCACTGGAATAACAGGAAACCTGAACTTGGAACCATACATATACAAGAAACCAGGACTTAAGAACATAATGCACCAGAAGTATTGCTACTCTGAATAGTTGGACCAGAAAAATCATGGCAATTATCAAACATCGTCGACATAGATAGTTTCTTGCTTGAACAGACCACCCAATATGTTCCTTACTTCCTTCTTCGTCTCTTTACTGATAGGTTTTTCCTCTGCAGGTGTTGGTTTTGCTTTTGGTCTAGATCTTTGCTTCGGAGTACTTTGTTTGGTCACAGCTTTTTGTGTGGGTAACTTCTGGGCCTTTGCTTGTCCTCTCACAGTAGCAACCTGAACTTTGGAAAGCTCGATATTTGATGATTTCACTGCACTGGAAAGCTGTGACCCAATTTGGTCCCAGGAAATTCCTGAGCCAATGTCTTTAGCTCTAGTTAATAAGTTATCCAATGAGGTTCCTGCTTTATCTGCCTTCTCTTTAGCTTCCTCAGCTAAACTAGCAGCTCGTGCTTCTTGCTCTGCCAACTTTTTCACTTCTTCTTCGAGCAGTTTCTTAGCCTCAGCTGCTTCCTGGGCTTGCTCAGCAGCTTTTATAGCTTCTTCTTCTGCTTTAGCTCTTGCAACTGCTTCTGCATATTCTTTCCTCCTATTGTCCTCTGGGATGGAACTGAAATTCAATAGTTTTTAGCATATGTGTTGTTTTGGTAGAACAAAATGGGCCAAGTTAGAATGCTTGTTCGTAGTGCAGAATGTAACAATACCTGAAAAGTTCGTCTAAAGTCTTTAATGGGGCTGATGGATCCGCATACACGTTCACCACCTGAAAATGTTACATAAGCAAGGAAGAATATTCAACTTTTCAAATGATAGAAGTATAACTCTCCTTGCATTCCTAGAGGGATAGAGGAAATCTAAACTATCTGGACAAAAACTACATCTTGAGCTCCAGATAAGCATGTATTCACAGGTGAAAAGTCCTGCGTTGGAGAAGGAACAAGAACAGAACCACAACCCTCCGTTCCTAGGCATTCCAAACCCAATTTTGAACACACGTGAAATTTAACAAATGGAATCTTGAATTCCCAGATGATAAATTTTACCGGGTGAAAAGAATACAATCTCTAGATTAGAAATCTGTGTTCATCAGCAGACTAATTCTTGGTCCTGAGCATATTACTACGTATTTTGCATCATATGTTATGTTAATGTGATTCAGCTCGTGCTAAGTGGCCTTTGGCAGTTTTCTCTAATCTTGTTTGTTGATTTTAAAATGCAAAAGTAGTCTCAATAATATATCAGCTGATTCCAATTTATTCCAATTTGTGGATCAATAATTTCAGGACAAGACCCTTAAAATGTGTCCGACCTTTACATGTGAAGTCCAACAAATATTAACTTGACTATGATGCATCCAACGATCAAATACACATGCTAGTTTCAACTTGGCATTAAACCATGTTATAGGCAATTTTACCATGTTTAAATAAGATTATTGTGATATGTGCAGAATGTCAACCTACCTTATCTTCGGCTACTGCTGTATTTGAGAAAAGACCTGCCACCAGAGTAGCCATCTGTGACCTTGCTACCTGTACAAGTAAGGACTAAGGATTAAAACCATCCAAAAACAGGACAGCTCCATAAACATACAGAAAGTAGCCATTTTTTTTTTTCAACATTTGTGCGCATACATTACATTACTTTGTAGTCGTTTGTGCCAGCACTCCCTTCTGTGGCCACAGCAACATTGTAAGAACTCTCGGGGGAAAAATCCTCAGTAAATGTCGTCCTGAGGAACGTGTATCTGACATCAGTCTGGATGACTCTCTCCAAGAACTCAGAAATAGTCAATGGCTGAGATTTTGAGAAAAGGTTGTTGAAAAAGGAGGAGATTCCATCCAGTACATTATTGGTTGCTGCAACTGGTGCAGTATCATAGATGATCGCCAAGTGACCCACACCGGCGAGTTGAGCTGCTTCAACCACCTGTAGAGCATCTGATGTGGTGACCTCTTTGTTGGGGCCATTCTCAGAAGAACCAATTGTAACTACCACCTTGCTTGCATTCCCTATTGCTTTCGCGATTGATTCTGCATCGTTGAACGTGGATTCAACAGCATTCAAGCGTTTCAGTTCTTCCTTTGATATAATCTGCCAACTATTCAAATGTAAGTAAACAACATACCAACCTTAAATGACATTGTAAAGATTTTTCTTCCTCCCTTTTAATGCAAAATCATAGCATATCATGGCTTCTATAGTTTAAACTTCTTATAACCCTGCTTTCCTATTCACAAAGAATTGATCTCCAACTCTAACATTAACATCATCTATTTCTTTTCAAACACAAATATAAAAAGTAGCGCGTACAATCATAAATCTCTCAATCACCAAAAAACATAAAGTAAAAAAGAAAAAACAGTAAGAAGATAAACCACCTTATAGTCTGAGGCAAACCGAGCCAATTCTTGTGCCGCACCAAGGTCTGGCACCCCAGCGCGGACCTTAAAGCCCTCTCGCAATAGCTTCTGAGCAATGCGTGCACCCGCCTGACCGGTGGCACCCACAACAAAAACAGTCCCAGCATCCTTCTGCCTACCAGGGCCCACCAAGCCAGAAGAATTATTGACAACCGGAATCAATGACTTGACATCAACTTCAGATATCTTACTCCAGTTAAACTGAAAGGGATTATTGTTTTTAACTTGGCCATCATCTTCAGAAGCTGCATCATCATCACCCGACTGCTTTCGTAGTCGAAACGATGAAAAAGGCCCGGCGTTCTTAGCAAAGACAGTAAGCTGCCTTGGTTTCTTGGAAACCAGCAGCCTAGAATGAGGTGTAGTAGTTAACAGAAATGAATTGGAAGGGACAGTATGAGCCATAGGAGTTACTCAAAAAAATTAAGGCTTAGTTAGTTTAGAAATCTTTGTGATTTTAGTTTGTGATCCATTCATTAACATTAGTATCAATTCTGTTAGTTTGTGTAATGTGCAGTACACAGGCAGAAGAAAGAAGACAATCCATCTGCTTATCTTTACCCAATTAACATCAGCCACGCAAACACTATCTACAATATAACGATGACCACTAAGTTTTCAGATAGCGCCCTTATATGGGTAAGGGAATAGGGATAATTTTGACAAGTCTCAATCCATTTTTATAACCAGTCAATGCAGATATTTACGGAGTAATAAAATTCATACAATTTTTTTAGAGAGCCGAAAGGGCAATGATATTTACCGGAATAAATTCATCTCTTAAATATCACCTTACACCACTTTACTGATTACCCGAGTTAACCATAATTAGTGACTATAATTTCTTTTTTCAATCATTGTTGGAAAGAGCTCATTGATATTAAATAGCTCTACAAACACTACATTATCCTATTTTATATCATTAGGCAGAGTCATGCCATTAGCCTTGTGCGTTGACAAAGATGAAATATAACAAGGTACAACGAAAAAAATAGGGCGTATTGTTTAGATGTTGCCTTAGTTACTTAACGCAACACGGGCAAACGCGGACCCAGACTTCCAAAGAGTTCACCAAACTTGTTTTATTTATCAGACTGAGTACAACGAAATCAACCAGTATGATAGAGTAATTAAAGGCCTTTGTGGGCACAGTTGAAATTAAAGGCTTGAACGAGTTTGATAGAGTTATCGACATAGTAGGAAGCTGTTACAGCGGACTTACAAAGTTACAAGACAATGATGAAAAGAGATTATTATAATTATAGCATTAGAATAAGAAGAAAATTCTCAAACTAGTCAAATTTTGCAAACTCGTAATATGCGGAGCAGGGAGCAAACGAAATGGATAACACAGATGCAGTCGTTACTTGCAGCGACAACACTGGTACATAACTAACATCAGCAGACAACAGAGTATTGTACCAACTAGCAGCTAACAACAGCAGCTGGTGTAACACAATTCTTGTCATGTTTAAAGTCAAACTGGCCCAAATGCCACTATCAGCATAGTTGCACGAAGCAAAATATTGATCCAATTTAAAAAGTTAACCTTGTATTAACAGAGAATTTTAGTTAGCGTGTTTCTTATAAACTATATTGACAGTCACAACCTTAATATTTCTGACAGACTACATTTATGTTAAGTACTCAATACCTACATACAGATAGATAACAACCAACATCATCAAAGTTCTACCATAAAATTACGACATTAAATTATTAATGGCAAGGAAAAATTCTGGGAATTTGATTTGCTTAGAAGAAAATTTTTCCATAAAGACCACTACTGCCTCAAAATAAGGACACTCGAAAGAAGTACACCATTAGCGAGCAAACAAATCCGACAAAAAACTTCATTCATAAATTGTTCCCTAATCAGCATAATATCTCTTCAATTCATAAGCACGGGTTAACAGTACAAACCTGACTTTGCAATTTGAACTTTACAATTGATATAGCATATTTTGGCAAACAATGTAAAATATACAGAAACAATATAGAAAATAAGGTGCCACTAATCTCTAGACATAGGTAAGATCTTAACTTCTGAAGCACACATCAACGAGTAACTTGACCCAACCGTGAAAATTAGTGCAGTGAGATTCAGGCAAGCCTTAACAACAAAAAAATAATAATTACAACGGGCATATCAACAAAAACAGCAGAATAGTAATAATTCATCTCTCCAATTGAAACCCAAATAACAGCACAAAACAACCATCACACTTAATAATGATACAGAATAGTAATTCCTTCCCTAATCTGGGTGATTTAAAAATAACAAAGTATGCTAAGTTTTGCAATCTCTTCAGTCACAAAATGCTAATCTATGTCTAAACATACTTTCTACGTAGTAATTGAACTATACCAACATCAAGCCTGCTCCAATTAAATAAATACAACTCAGTTTGCTAGTTCATGAAAAACCATAAAGTAGAATGTAGTCTGGCATAGCATGTCAACATTGACTTTGTAAGTTAGTAACATCAAATCAAACTCAAAACCACTTCAGAAGATGAAAATCACTTCCTATTCTGCAAATATTATGCATACCATGTACAGTAGAGAACAGCTTAATGCAAGTCAATAAAAAAAGCTAACAGAACAAATATGGAAAAAAGAGAACTGCAGAATAGTCAGTAGTGCCACAGTGACGAAGCTAGTAACAGATCTATCCCAGAAAACCAGAACGGGAGAGAAAGAGACATAGATGACAAAAAAGTATTGTTCATGATTTGAGATAGTTTAACATGTAGAAGCAACGAATGACAAAGAAAAGACTGATACCAATACCTATCCCCTGACCAAATTGTTTACAATGCAGAAGCAATGAATTGACAAAGAGAGACTGATACCAATACCTATTGACTGTAGTAAGGTAGTTATACATGCAGGAATCTACCCGTATGGAGAACAGGAGAGCAAGCATCCAAAGCAAGCACCAGTCAAAAACTATACACAGTCCAAGAACTCCTTTCAAGCTGCCAATGACACAAAAGTAAGATACACAACTCAAAGAAAAAAAAAGCCCTATGCTATAAAATTCCAATGGACATATTTTGTAGTCTATATGTACACAAATCTTCTCCCAAGAGACTGTCAAAGAACTGAAATACTTCACCTGAATTGTGCTCAATAAGTAGGCCAGCTCAGGTTCTCAACCACATCTAGTTGGAATATTATGATCTATCAATTAACCAGAAAGCTGACTTAGTACTAAAAACAATATGGAATAATGGCACCATTAGGTATTACTTCCTTACAATACATTACAATCACTAGATTGAATGGGCATAACTATTATAAGTTATTATTCACTAGCAACATTGAGTGAACTAATCAATAACAACAAATAAGGGTCGTACAACAGCAGGATGAGTAACACCCAAAAGCAATGCTCTCCGGATATTCTACATATACGAGAAACCAACAATGGAAACAGTCATTACCAGAATATATAGCAGCAAGTCCTGCGTACAGTCGCAGTCAAGAGATATCTCAGAAATCCTCAACTATCCATCTCAACTGCCAGCAGCAAACACAGACCGCATTAAAGATATATCAACTACATTTATAGCATTTAAGATATAAAGTACACATAACAATAACAAAAAAAACAAAAAACAAAAACAAAGCCATTAGAAATCGTTCAACGTTGCAAAATATAGGCAACATCAGAAGTTACAAAAAGAACATATTCAACGGCTAATCCCCTTCTTTGCTCTTAGTGATTCAAGAGCCTTTTCACGTAGCTCAATCTCAAGCCTCTTCTTTTGTGATTCTGTCTCTTCTTCATCACTTGAATACTTTGTTGTACGACGTTCACCATTTGCAGCATTGGTATCCTTTTCATTGTTTTCCACATCAGAAGACAGGGCATCAGCATCTTTTGACTTTCGCTTCCGTTTACCAGCACGCTTCTCTTCCTTCCTCCGGCGCCGCTCCTCACGACGCCTACGTCGCTCCTCTTTTCTTATTTTCTTCTCTTCTTTCTTTCTTCTCTTAGCTTCTTTTCTATCCTCCATCTCAGATTCAGAACTAGTATCATCAGATGCCACTTCTCTTCGCCTTGACCTTCGATGCTTCCTCTTCTCAGAAACTTCAGCTCTATGCTTCTCACTTTCCTCAGATCCAGATTCAGAGTCAACACTAGGACTTCTTCGTTTATTTTGTAATTTCACTACGGAGTCAGACACAGTGTTGTCCCTAGTATCTTTCTGTTGGTAGTTCCTCTTTTCATCCAACTTGAAAACATCCCCAGGGTACAATATGTCAGACCTCTCATCTGATACAGTACCTCTAGGTGGTGACTTTTTCAGAGCACGAACTTCCTTCAAAGAAGCTTCTTCACTGTAAACCAGTCAATAATAAATGAGGAATAACTGCTTTTACAAGAGAATGCAGCACAAAAAGACAATTCATATAACAGTCATTAGTTCATTACCTTATTATCTCATCATCCTGTCGTGCATCAACATTACCACGATGTTGGTATCTAACTGATCGATCAGGAGAATCCCTCTGATTGCCAACTGATGAGCGTCCTGATTTTTTTTCTTCTGACTTGTACTTGTCCGCCTGATACTCCCTATAAAATAACCATTGATGTTTTAAAAAACTGCAATTTTTGAAATGAACACTTCCAGTAAAATGAAAATTATTGTTTATATTTGACAAATTGAACCTATCATTATCAAATTTATCTCCTCTCATTTCTAGGCTTCCATGACGAACTTTGTGGCCTCTCAATCTACTAGGACTCCGATTTCCATTAATGGTCGTTTTATCCCCTGATTTTTTTTCAGGACTGTCATATGGACTTGCCAGCCTGCACAAGAAAAGAAAAGAAAAAGTTAAACTTATTATAAAAGTCCCAATAAACCGAAAATTTGTTACTTAAATTTAGGCAGCAGAGAAAGACCTCTTATCTTCACCAGAACTCTTTTTGCGGGATAGTGGTGAGGCCGCATTTGACTTCTCTGGAGAAGGTGAGACAGACGCAACATTTCTGGGTGAACGCTTTCGATTATCTCTTTGGGGGGACAATGAAATAGGCTGTCTACGAGCCATCATTGCAGGCTCGTGGTCACTGTAAATCCATCTAAAGATAAGATCTTTTGACTTTACACACACACACACACACACACACACACACACACACACACACATATATATATATATATATATAGAGAGAGAGAGAGAGAGAGAGAGAGAATACTTTTTGAGCAAATTAGAGCTAAACTGAAACTGCAAGATGCTTCAGCAAAAATAAAGTTGAGAGTGATGCTTAAAGAATACAAATTCACAAATGCAATACTGCAACTGACTGATCCATAAATTACCTGTTTTGATCTCTAGGGGATCCATGTGGGGAATTCTGAATCCTGGGTGATCTTGTCTTAACTGGTGAAGCAGAAATATGCCTGACAGGTGATCCGGAACTTTGACTGGCAGGTGACGGAGATCTGCTAGGTGATGGAGTAGGTGATCGACTACGAGCTGGAACAGGTGACTTTCTCCGAACTGGAGCTAAAGATCTATGTTCCACTGGAGATGGAGAACGGTGTCCCCTTGCCATGGGGGACCTACGTCGAGCAGGAGACGGAGACCTGCGTCGTGCAGGAGACGGAGACCTACGCCGTGCAGGAGACGGAGACCTACGTCGGACAGGAAAAGGCCTTCTGACAGGGGATTGGAACCTACGTCGTATAGGAGACGGAGACCTACGCAGACCTGGAGACCGAGACCTCGGACTTGAAGAGGACCTTCTCCTACGGCGACGAACAGGAGAAGGGGATCTGCGTCGCCTAGGGGATGGTGATCGTCGACGCCACGGAGAAGGTGTCCTACGCCTCCTAGGAGAAGGAGACCGCCGTCGCAAAGGTGAGCGAGACCGTCGTCTTAAAGGAGATGGTGATCTTCTGGCAGGAGAAGGTGACATGCGTCGAATTGGAGATGGTGACCTTCTACGTGCTGGAGAACGGACCCGGCGCCTCATAGGAGATGGAGACCTATAACGTGTACGAGATGGAGACCGCCTTCTGGAAAGAGACCTCCGCCTTGGAGACACTGACTCCCGGGCAGACCGCCTCCTAGGTGTGACAGATCTTCTTCGGGGCGATTGATGTCTTCTTCCAGGAGAAACCGATTGCCTTTTTGGCCTAGGAGAGCCAGAAATACTCCTTGATACACTTCTTTCTCTACAAGTAAGAAAAAGATGTTTCAGTCTCTGAAAAAGTATCAACATTGTGAATCCTGATCACCACAGGAACTAAGAGAAGGGCATAACCTTATATATACACCCAAGTGCACCCAAGGGTGGCTTTTTTGCACATTTGATTTTTTTTTTTTTTTTTTGCTCATTTTAAGAATTTAAATTGAGCAAAAATAATTAAATGAGCAGAAAATACTTGTGGGTGCACCTTGCACCGGGTGTATAAAAATTTCAAGAGAAGGAAAAGAAAGAAAATAGTAACACAATGCAGCAGTGTAGCACCAATATCTAGTGTGAATCCTGCTAAAGAAGTCGGTACTCAACTAACAAACAAATATATCCAATTAAGTTAGCAAAGATAATTGTAACATGGAAGTTGGTCGGTGGAAACAAACAAATGATGACCAAAAAAATATAAAAAATGAAACATAGAAATAATATGATACTTTGTAATCAAATATTCAAACAGTAGTAACGTTAATAATAAAACAGTAATTTTATAAACATCCAATAAAAAGGTGGATAAAACACAACTAAATACTGACATCAAATAGCAACCTACTGAAAAACATGCCGAAACCACATAATTTGAGAATCTCTTAAAAATGGAAGCGGCATAATCATTGACTTAAGAGCATAACAACAAAAGAGCAAACTATTAAGTGATAACGACAACCTGTTCAATTCACTTTATGCTGTAAAGACCAAATCCTTTGGAAAACTTCTAAAAATAGAATATGACTTGGTAATACACCTAGATCGAGCAGTGCTCTAAAGAACCAAAAGAAGAAAATCTGATAACACACAAGTTTGCATATTGTTCAAGCAAGAAAAATAGCTAGAATACTTACCGATGAGGTGATTGAGAATGATCAGATGGTGACTTGGATGCTCTGCAAATAAAGAGGTAGTTTGTATGTCAATATTTCTGTTGCCAACTAAATCACCAATCACGTCTAAGGATGATGCAACAGCACCCAAATGTTTGGAGGTCAAGAGACAATGCAGCATCTACCCAAAACACCCAAATGTTTGGAGGTCAAGAGACAATGCAGCATCTACCCAAAACCAAAACAACTTGATGCACCCACAGGAAGCAAATTCAAACACACTTAAGAAAAAGAGGGGAAGGGGGAGAAAACACCATGTTCATGGAAATAATGACAAATAGATAGACATGAGTACATGACAGCTGTATCAGTAAGTTGGGCACAAAATGATCTATTTCCTAAACTACCATGACAACCATCCACAGCAGAATATAGGGTGTGACAATTCTACTCCAAATTCTTTGAACATGCAAATGCAAAAACGGAAGCTACACATGTGCATTATACAAAGTAAAAACAAGATCAATACAAGTATTTTTTTTTCCAGAATACAATAGACACCAATAAGAACATATTTTAGTCATCTATAGATGACACTGATAAGCAACATAGATAGGAAACCTCATCATAAGGAGGTTTAACCATTAATGATGTTTAAGAAGACAAGGTAGAAAAATATATCTTCCTCCGTTCCTCAAATATTGCACCATGGGGGGAGGGGCAAGAAATCTGGTAAGAGGAGAGAAAGGCAAAATGACAAAAGTGTCCTCCTTGCAAGGAATTACTCACATGGGTTTAGTAAGGGTAAATTGGTAAATGTACAAGGAAAAAGTTTCCTAAAAAACAAATTGCAAAAATATGAAAATTCCTAAAAAGGTAAATGGTGCAATATATGCGGAACGGAACAAGTAAAGAATACCACATACCTAATACCAAAATCCCAAAATACATATATTAAAGCAACTACGAAGCTTCAACATACCAACAAAAAAATTCGCATTAAAAGCTAGTACAAAAGAAATTTTATGCAACCACTTACTTAGCGAATCACAAGTACAATAATAAACTGCGAAAAGGCATACGGTACATTGATATAAAAAAATCGCTAAAACCCTTTTGAAATATAACCATCACAGTTGTAATGTTTAATTTGAATAAAACTGATGCAGTTTTCAATAACAAACAGTCCTTTGTGGTGGGATAAAGACTTGAGGACTTCAGATTTTTTAAACACAGAAGATTAGAAGAAAGACCAAACAACTTTTAATCAGTTTTTACAAAATGCTCCCTAAAACGATTCAAATATTTCAGTTTAATCTTTAAAACCATTTGCACATGCCAATGGAACTATAAAAGACCATCGAGAATCTACAACACTCAAAGGAGTGTACATCAAAAATCACGGATATTAAATAAGCATTAATTGTTTAGCAACCAACCTGGATCTTCCTCCAAAACCATTTTTCACGTCAGCTCCATTCTCATCTTCAGATTGCGCACCAGAACCTCTTTCTCGTCTTCGACTTGATTCGTCATTAGAATATTTTCCAAGCCCGTCATCCTACAGTAGTTTGAGGTAAGGACATGAACCCAAATAATTGCAGAAGCAAGCTGAGTGGCCATAAGAAACAAGAGAGTTAAAATCAAACAACCCAACTCTCAAAAAGCTAGCTCTAGCATGAAACATATTAAGTTACCATTTGCCTCACTTTCTCTTGCTCAGAATCTTCTCTTTCCTTCTCTTTCCTTCTCTGGATTTCATTAAAGATACGATCGTTCTCCTCCTGCAAATATTCACAAAGAGTTAATCACGCAACATTGGTAAGTACAGTCTTGAACAATGAGCCTCACTGTAAAAATACGAACCTTTTTCTTCCTAGTTTCCTCTTCCTTAGCATCCAGGAATTGTTGGGGTACGCCACTAGCATTTTTCTGCGCACTGAGAAGAAGCGACCAAAGCTCTTTCATGAACTTACCAGTATTCTTTTCCATGAAACCAGTCAGCTGAATTTGGATCTGCTTTCCATTAACAACCTGCAACAAAATATGCAGAGAATTAAGCAAAATTTAACCTTTTAGAATGAGATGAATACAATCTATAACCTCTGCAAGTAAACAGTTTATGTTGTGACTCTAAAATTGACTCCGTCATAAAACTGCTACTAGAGCAGATAATGTGTTTCTTGGTGACAGATATGATTATATGAAAGTGTTGTAACGGAACAACACGGACAAGGAAACAACAACCAGTTAGACAAATTTGAGTCATTGAGTATGTGTCTGTATTTCCGAATACATGCAGTTGTCCAAGTAGAGATTGATGTAAGTGAATTGTACTGAAAACAATATATAAGTAAATTGACACAAAAAAAACTGGATGCATCAATAAATTATATCCAGCAAATGACTGCAATATTACATGATGACAGTAACATAGGTTACCTTTCCTTCAAGAAGTCCATTGATAAAGTTAATGAGCACTTCATCTTCAAATCCATCAAGGAGTTCAGTCACTCTTTTCGCGATCCACGGCTTGATAACATCCATTTTCACCTTTGAAATATCAACCTAACCAACAAAATTCACCATACGAACAATCAACAAATTACAATTAGTTCAAATTTCAATTCCCTAGCAAATACTCAAGTGATGACAATAGTATTGATAAAACGAACCAAATGTTCGAGTTCTGGAGCAAACTTCTGCGTTTTGAGCAACTTTGCTTGCTTATTTGAGAACCGAGTGTCTTGCTCAGCCGACGTACCCTATTCACATGGAAAATTCCAAATTCCAATCATATAAACTCCAACAAATTGACACAAAATCAACCAGGCGTAATAAACAAGCAATTTCTACATATACAAGATCAAAACAGCTGAAACGACAACAATTACATCGACAATTGAACGTTAAATCAAACATATTAATTCGAGTGCATATGCAATTAAATCCGATCTAAAAATAATCAATTCATAATCAGAATATCAATCACCAACATTACGCAGTTCCAAAACTACCAGATTCCAAAAAAAAGATAGATAAATTTAATTACCCGGAAAAAGCCGCCCGACATTTTCTAGGGTTTGGAGAAACAACAATTGAAATTGAAATTCAACAATCCGAAAGACAAATTGAGTGGATGATTGAAAAGATAAATGATCAACAAGACGCAATTAGGTTAAAGATTTAGGGTGAAGATTGGGCGCCGCTCATCTGGTGAGAGGCATCGTCGGGGGAAATGAGGTGAATCGGTTGAGCATGTGTGCGAGAGTGAGAGAGGAAAAATGCTTTCTGCTGAATGCAAGAAAGATGTAGCCCTAGTATGGGTGTGATTCCTTTTTTCTTTTGTTTTTTTTACGAGAGTATGGATGTGAATTTACCCAATTAGACATTGTTGGTAACACATATCACACATGTCCATCATCGACAAGTGTTCCTTGTTTGTTTGGTGTTTAGAGAGCCACAAGGGCGGGCTGAAATCCGATCTCAGAATTTTCTGAAATCGAAAGGAAAGCACTAATCATTTGAGTTATCTCTAACTCAACAAGTGTTCCTTGTGATTGCGTATTCAAGTACTCCCTCTGTCCTTTATTAATAGTACTTTATTGCCTTTTTTTTTTACAATACTTTATGGCCTAATTTAAGTCCCAAAATTATAGTAACATTTGCTTTCTCCAACCATTATTAATATTACTCTATTACCAAAATCTCCTCCAATTTGCAATAATATTTGTGCAATTTTAGCTTCCTTATGTAAATTTTGCATTTCCATATACTTTTATCACTTTTTCTCTCTACTTTTTTGCATGCCCCATGTAAATTTACATGTCCAATGTACATTGACTCCTTATTTAAGTTATTTAAGCTTTTTTATTTCCGTGAAATGTCACTACTTGTAATTGATAGAATTTTTTGGGTAATTGAATGCAATCTATCTATATTATATACTCCCTCCGCCCCATTAAATTTTTGTTTCTCATATTTCACGAGTCTGAATATAGATAAATATAAAGATCAATAAGGAAAAGGTAACAAATGCCTCGGAATGGGCTCGGATATTAACGAGTGGCCACTTACAGGTTTATGAGGGGTCATTTTTTACACCTCCTTATTATATAATGGCAACTGACAAGTATAAGTTTTGTTATAAAATTTGAAAAGTAATCCAATAATATGATCGAGAAAACATTAACTTTTTCATTTCATTAGTTTGGAAAAGAAAAAACAAATATGTGAATGGTAATTGTGTGAAATACAACTACTAAACAATTATTATATAAGTAATAAAATCGTAATATATAGGATAATAATAAAAAAAAAAAATTATGGAAAACCAAAATATATTACATTAAATTACCACTTCTAAATTAGGATTTCAAATAATGAGTTTATGTGATAATTTATTCAAAAATCGATATTTCTATTCAAATTTCAAAATAGATATTTAAGAAACGAGAAAGAATTTTTGACCACTTGAATTATCCTTCACCCTCATAATTTTTCAAAGTTGTAGTGTTGCTAATCAACCTCGAACGAACATATTACCCTATATTATAATGAATATGGATTATGAAAAGAAAAAAGTAGCACTTTCCATTGATTATCTTAGTTATAAATTGATCTCAAAAAAAAAAATAAAAAAATAAAAAAATCTTAGTTATAAATTATAACCAGGGTGCGGCCCCGGACGTTGCACCCGGTTACCACTTTGATTAAATTGTTTGTTTATGAAATATATTATCATCTTTTTTGGCAAAATGAAATATATTATCATCGATTGTGTATGTTATGCATAATGTTAAAAATTATGTTACTAATTGATAAAGACTAAAAAAAGATATTTTTTAACACTATATGGTTTGTGAAATTTTGAGTTTATTCCTTTTTTTTCAAACTGTATATCTCGTATTTCCTTTTTAATTTATGTATGTCATTTATAGTTATATTTATATGTAAAGATGACATCAATTGTTATTGTCTAAGATGGTAAGGAAGTAGATCTTGTTTCTTTAAGGTCTAGTGTTCGAAATCCATCAAAAAATCCACAAATAATAATATACTAGCGAGTATATATAATGAGTGTATGAGTTGAGAGTTTAAAACATTAGAAAGGTATAACTGGATTACATGCTTTCAAATAATGTTCAAAATCACACATTTATACGCTATGGAAGAAGTGTGTAGAATCACCTATAGCCCTAGACACATGCTTTTTAAATTAACTACATGAATCTAGAAACTTGCTGCATGAGCATTTACCAATAATTTTAGGTTCTTCCATAAATTTTCGTCAATTTCTTAATCTTAAAATTTATAGAGAATTTAAGAAGCCTTAAGAGACAATTGGTAGGGCTTATGAAATTTGAGCCACGCTAAACCCTACATGTGTCCAAAATTCAAAGCATGAAAAGTTTATACTTCACATATATTGTGCAACAATTCTTATTCCAATAGACTTGTAAACATAGTAGTAATAATAATAATAATAAAATAATAGTAATAATGAGAAATTAACGATGATGATAATAATACCCTATGCTTATGATGGACTGGATGTCTATTCAGCGGGTGATATGCGACATTAAAATGTTGCACCTTTTGAATTACACCAAAGCTGATAGGTTACAAACAAACTCCATTGTAAAGCCAAGAGGATTGAACCTTCAACCTCTTATAAGAAAGATAACAATTTTACATTTTAAGCCAATTATCAAATGTTTTATTAATATGTAAAAAAATTTATATAAGTGCAAACCGTAAGGTTCAATAAAAAAATACTCCATTTTAGTTTGACAATGACAATTACTATTGTAGTAACCCGGGGCAACGCCCGGGTTTACACTATTTGCTAAGCTGAAATTCACGAGAAAATTTATCTTATAATAGTACTCTCTTCGTCCCATATTACAGTTACTGTTTTCCTATTTTAGAGACTCAAAATGTTGTTTTCGTTTCTATTTTTGGGTAGTATGAAAAGACCATTTTACCTTTTTTTATTTTTTATTTTTTTATTTATTTTTAACTTTATTCATTGTATTTCTTAAATAATCCTTGAATTTTCCACGTGTCTTGTACTCTATACTTTTCCCACACTCTATCTAGCTTTTGTCTATGAACTTCTCATTTTTTTTGGAAATTTTGCATTTAACCACCTTTTAAATCTTTTTTTTTTGCAAAAAACCACCTTTTAAAAAAAATGTTGCTAAAAACCATCAATTTTAGAAAAATCGTTGCAACTTACCACCAACTACCGAAAAGGGAATGTTTGACCAACTCTTCCGGCGTTGACCTAGTCATGTGCGTGGCACGTGACCCCCCCTTCCCTTCCCTTTTTTTTATTTCCTTTTCTCTTTTCTGATTTCTCCTTTCTCCTACTGTGGTTCCTCTTTCTTTCTCTTCTCTATTCCTCCTCCATTGTAGATTATTGCTGCTACGTTTTTTGTTTTCTTTCTCTTTCTCTTTCTTCTCTGTTCATCTTCTTCTTCATCTTTTCTCTAGTAATTGAATTCATTTAATTGAAAACGAATTCAATTTTCCCCTTAATGCACCCTAATTCTCCCCCCCCCCCAAAGAATGACAATTTATCTTTCAATTTCCCTCTTTTCCTCCTTAGTTCCAATTCCCTTCCTTCCCTTGTCAAGTCACAGTCCATTTTCTCCATCATCGAATCGCGTGCTTAGATATGGGGTTTTTGAAGGGAAGTGTGTTATGATTGTGGATTGTTCTTGGATGGTTCTTGCGGTTGGGTAAGTGGGTAGTGGGCGACATGTGAGAGGGGATTGTGGGTGGTAGGTGTCTCGTGGTTGGTAGAAGAATTAAAGCGGCAACAATTAACAATAATTAGGGTTCCTAACAATAAGAATTGAAGCAGCAGCAACAACAACAACAATCAACAATGGAGGAACAAAAAGAAAGAGAAAGAATGATAACTAAAGGAGAAGAGGGAAATCGAAAGAACAGGAAAAAAAAAGGGGAACCATTGGAGGAGAAAGGGAATCAGAAGAGAAAAGGAAAGAAAAAGGGGGGACGGGGGGTCATGTGCCACGCACATGACTAGATCAACGCCGGAAAAAGTGGTCAACATTCACTTTCCGGCAGTTGGTGGTAAATTGCAACATTTTTTTATAAATTGGTGGTCTTTAACAACATTTTTTTTAAAAGGTGGTTTTTTGCAAAAAAAAACAAGATTTAAAAGGTGGTTATATGCAAAATTTCCTTTTTTTTTTTAAAAAATTTAATTTATCCACTTTTTTCATATTTCTTAAATACCGTGAAAAAAACACAAAGAAAAACTATAAAATGAGACTAGAGAGCCCTAAATTAATATACTAGTTTGGTTTTAAAAAAAATGAGACTAGGGAGTACTCCGTTTAATATTTCATTATTTTCATTCCAATAATACGAATTAATTAAAAAAAAAAGAAGTACAATATGATCAAACAATCACAACTTAAGAAAAAAACAAGTGTTCCAAGCAAATTCTCAAGTTAAAAAATCTGGAAACCTTGTTCTCGATAAATAGAAGAGGCATCTTATAAAGCATTGAACAACACTGCATATTTTGACACGTGGACCCAGAGCATTATAAACGGATGCAAACCTATTTATATTCCACTCTTTAATCTTCCTTTTCTGTTCCGCTCTCCCCACCACCACTTCTCCCCTTCTCTCCACCTTTCTCTCTTCTCCCCTCCGCCTCCTCCTCCGCCCCCTCACCCTTCTCTCCGCCTCTTCCGATATCGTCTTCGAACATCGACACCGTAAAACTCACTGATTTCTTCTCTAATCGGTTCCACTCAATTTGAAATCGCTCCGATTTGGTTATCTCGGGCGGAGATATCCGGAGAATCTCGGAGTTTTTTTGAATTTTTTTTGAATTTATTGAGAAATGACGACCTCTACTACTAGCGCTGTTTACATCCATGTTATTGAGGATGTCATCGAGAAAGTTCGCGAAGAGTTTGTTGCCGATGGCGGTCCCGGCGAAAAAGTCCTCCAAGAACTACAAGGAGTATGTAATTTGTGTTGTTAATTAGAAGAAATGAATTCGAATTTTTGCTTTTAAATTGTGATTTTGGTGTTTAATTAGGGTTTTCGGTTTGATTAGTGTTAATTTGGAGTGAGATTGGTGGAAGATGTTCTGATCTGAGTGATTCTAGGGTTTTGTGATTTGTGGATTTTTTTCGTGAAATTGATGTGTTATTTTATGCGGTTTGTTTACAGCTTTGGGAACTGAAAATGATGCAAGCCGGCGCTGTGTTGCAGCCCAGTGAGAGGCCGGCAGTGGCGAAGCCGGGGCCGGGAGCTGCGATAACGCCTGTTCACGATCTGAATGTGCCTTATGAAGGAACTGAAGAATATGAAACTCCCACTGCTGAGATGCTTTTCCCTCCGGTGAGTGATTTGGGCACTGTTTAGGATTATACTGGAGTATTGGTTAAGTAATTGTAATATTCAGAATTTTGTTTGCTTATCAACTTTAGAAATGGTGACAGAAAACGTTG